GGGCACCGGCAGGTCTTTGGCAACTTTTAACATTTCAGCACTTTGATACATTTCCAGTAAATTTCGTTTTTAAAAAGTCAACGTGTAAAAAAAAAAAAACCAAAAAAAAAACCTAAAAAAACCAACAGCAACAACAACCCAAAGGCCGTTATTCCCTTGGCGGAGCAGGCCACGCCGGTGCCGCCCAGCACGGCTCCGCCGCCGTGGGGTGCGCGGCCCTGGGCGCAGCAGGGCCCCGGGAGCGCCTCTCCGCTGGGGCTGCTCAGGAGTCTGTCGAGCTGGCGGCTCTGGGGTGCGCAGCACCCTCAGTTCATGAACTGGGTGTAGCCCTCCGCCCCGGTGACGATGACGTCCATCCAGATGCGCATGGCCTCGGCCGAGGGTGCCACCATGTAGTAGAGGCGGTCGTGGGTCTTGACGCAGAAGGTGAGGGCGGGGTTGGGGCTCTGGGGAGGAGAGGAGGGCAGGGTCAGCGCTCTGCCCCCTTCGCCCCCGCGAAGCTCAGCACCGGGGCCCCGTCCTCGGCAGCCCGAGGAGCTGGACCGCTCCGGGAGCGTCCCCGGCACAAGCTGCCTCCTGCCCGCGTGGCGGCGGGTGACGGGAGGGCGCAGCAACGCTGGGGGGGTCCCAGCGGACACCAGGGCAGCGGCGGTGCCCGGCTCTCACCTTTGCCGCGCTGCGGAGGTGGTCGTAGTAAACCTCTTCAATGGCTTGGAAGTAGATGACGCCCTTCAGCTTTGTCTCGTGTTTATCTGCCCGAGAGAAGGAACCGGTGTTGACCGCTGCAGGCCGTGGCACGGGGAGGGGGCAATGGCGCGGGGCAGCGCAGGGACTCACCCACGTAGTAGGAGAGGGTGCGCTTCATGCGGTCGAAGACGAACCAGCGCTTCTTCCAAGACTTGATCTTGCCGCCCATCTTGACCAGGTAGCCCTTGCACATCTTCTCCGTCAGGATGACGTGGTAGCAGGTGTCCACGCTGTGGCCCGAGGACTCGATGTGCAGCCGCAGGTCAAAATCCTCCTTGCGGATGGGGAGGTACCGCGTCAGGGGACGAGCCTGGAAAAGCAACGCAGCCCTGCAAAGCCCGGCACTGGTGGCAAGAGCTGCATCTCCCCGTCAAGACCCCGCGACGCTGGCGGAGAGCTGGGTCTGCCTCGCTAGCTGGGCTGGGAGAGGGGACCCCGCGCCGGAGGGAGCAGCCCGCCCCGCACCTGCGAGAAGTGCTTCTCCCGCAGCTTGACCTCCTTCTCCACCAGCTTCTGCCGCCGTGCCGTCTCATCCTGCAGCCGGCGTTCCAGCTGCTCCCGGCGCCGGCGCTCATCCTCCAGCGCCTGCCGCCGCAGCTCCATCTCCCGCTCCTGCCGGCACGCGCAGGCGCTCAGCCCCGGGAACTGCGGACCCGTGACTCAGCTGGCCGCGGCGCTGGTGCCCCCACTCACCCGGGACTCCATCAGCCGCGACTTCTCTGCGTGCGCCTCCTTCAGCATCTTCTCCATCTCCTCGATCTTCCCTGCTTCCATCCCGCTGGCACTGCAAGACAGCCGCAGCTGCCACGCCAGCAGGAAGGACCTCGAGCCCGCGGCGTGGCCAGCAGCGTGGACTGTGCCGCTGGCCGCGGGAGCTGGCCCCAGGGTTACCTGGAGATGTTGTCGGGCGAGCAGGCAGAGTTGTTGCCGGTAGAGATGCTGGTCTCCATGCTGTCTGAGCTCTCCAGGCTGAGGGTGTCATATGCATGGTCCAGCTCCTCGGCCCGGGGCCCGACGCCATGGGGACGGTGGTGGTGAAGGATGGAGTGATGCACAAGCGGGGGAAAGGCAGCGGGGAAGGGGGGCTGCCCGTGCAGGGCTTCCCACTGGGACTGAGCCTCTGCGGCCGCTTTCTGCTTCAGCTCCGCCAGCCGCCGCTTCTGCTCCTCAATCACCTGCTGACCTGCGCCGCGGGAAGAAGACGACGACTGAGCGCACCGCGCTCAGAGCCGCACCGCGGTGGGTGAGGGGACAGCGCGGGCAGAAGACACCGCAGGTGCTGCTGGAGGCGGGGAGGGACGGTGGGCAAAGCCCGCGGGGGGGGGGGGGGGGGGGGGGGGGGGGGGGGGGGGGGGGGGGGGGCCCCACCTGTCACAACTCCCTGGTGAGCACGGCAAGCAGCCCCCGTCCGGGCAGGAGGGGGGGCCCGGGCAGCCAAGGGGAACACATGCGCCAGGCTGGCAGGAGCGGGCTGGGCAAAGCATTAGCAGCTTAGGGATGCACAGGGTCGTCCCTAAGCGGATGTCGAGAGGCACCCGGGGTCCTGGGCTGGTCATGCCCCTCCTACGGATGGCAGAAGGTGCCAGCAAACAGCCATGCTGCTGCCTCTGGGCTGCTCTAGGCAGTCCAAGCTGCCCCACGTCTCTACCTGGTAGATCACCCGGCTGCAAGGGCTCTGCTGGGAGTGGCTCGGCTGGAGACACGCCGTCGGGCGGAGGGGTCGGGAGGGAGAGGGGGGGAAAAGCGAGAGACCGTGAGAGAGAGACCGCGTCCCGCCGGAGCACTGCCGCTGCCACCCTTGGCCGGGCTCCCTTCTCCACCGCCCGAGCGGCAGCGGGGGAAGCGTCTCCCAATGTCCTGCCGCACCGCAGAGCCGGGATGCGGAGCCGGAGCTTACCCTTCTGCTGCAGGGCCAGCTGGCGCTTGGTCTCGATGTCCTGCAGTGTGGCTGCCAGGTTGCGGGGCAGGCTGCCCGCCGGGCTTGGGGGGCCCTGGGCAGGACAGCAGGCAGTCAGCTGCGGGGATGGGGGCTGGCACTGGGCGCACAGGACCCGCGGCCGGGGCGTCCGAGGACGCGCGACGCCCAGCTCCCCCCGGCAGCCGTACCTTGGGTGAGGGGCTGCGCCCCAGCACAGCGAGGTTGAGCTGCGAGGACGAGGGGGTCCCGCTCTTCATCCGAGGGGCGAGGGCACCAGCGTCACCCTCCGTTTTGGCACGATAGACCTGGGCACAGAGACACGGAGGTGAGAGGGGCACAGGGGGGCTGCAAAAGCCCCCCGGACGGATGGCTCAGCTGTTGGCGGGGCTGAGCGTCCCCTCCCCAGACCCTGCCCCTGTGTAGGTGCCATCTTGGCAGCAGTACAGGCAAGAGGAAGCAGCGGCTGCCTGCCCCAGGCATGCTGCCCGCTGCGGGTCAGCTCTGCCCCTGCCCGCTGTAGCACAGCAGCTGGGTGCCTGGCAGCACCCAGGGCGCAGAGCCGGCAGGAACGTCCCCGCGCTGCCCCGCTCCCGCTGCGGCCGGCAGCCCCAAAGACTGAGCCCCAGCGGCAGGGAGCCAGGATTACCTGGAGAGGCTTGTGAGAGGAGTGAGCTTTAGCTGGAAGCGGAGGAGGGGAAGAAGGAGGAGAGACAGAGGAGGAGGAGGTCTCAAAGCCAGCCATGACCTCCTGGTACCACTTCTCTAAATCAAGAGCCGGGAGCCACATGTGGCCCCCCGGCAGCTGCTGCTCCATCTGGAGAGAGACATCGCATGAGAAAGGAGGGAGGGTGAAATGCAGCGAGGGGGACAGAGGCACGGAGATAGAGAGGTCGGAGCATCCCTGCCTGTGCCTGCACCGCCCCCCCAGAATGGGACCTGCAGACCCCGGGGGACCCCCACGCACTCCCGGGCTGAGTCCCGGCAGCTCCGGGACCCCCTTGCTGCTCACGGGGCTGGCAAGAACCAATGCAAACATCAAGAGGGCACGGAGACCCCCTGCCCTGCGCTGCGGGCTGGGCAGGCCGCCAGGCAGGCAGCGAAGCAGCGGGCAGGGCAGCGAGGGGTGCGCAGGCTGGCAAGAGCCCGGCCGGGCTGCAGCTCGGCCTCATCCACAGCTCACCCCTTCCCATGCATCCCCACCAGCTCCCAGTGAGAGCACGGGGGCAGAGGGAGGGAAACGGGGCACGAACCTCTGCAGAGACGGAGGGAGAAGAGAGAGACGGAAGAGGAGGAGGAGGAGCAGCACAGCCCGAGGATGAAGGAGCTGGAGGGGCACAGCCCAGTGGGGAAGCAGCAGGGGTGCGGAGGCCACCCAGGATGCCCGAGAGCTGCTCAACGGTCACGTACTGGGCGGAGAGAAGCAGATTAAACCGGGAGAAGAGGCTCAGAGCACGGGCAAGCAGGCACAGGGGAACGAGCAGGCAGCTCCAGCCCCCAAAAGAGGGTGCCACATCCCCAGGAGGAAGGGCAGCTGGTGCTCCCTGCCACGCCAGCCCACCGGGTCAGGTCCTCGCCTGCTCTGCGTCCTCCTTGCCTGGGACTGGTGGCCAGGACTGGGTCCAACAGGCAAAGGGCCACCCTCCCACCCAGCTGGCCACCCACTCTGCTCCCCAGCTCTGCTGCTGCCACCCCAGAGGGCAAAGCCTGTCCGGAGCAGGCGAGAAGCGCTCTCGGGCTCCAGCCTCTGCTCCCTGCTCAGCTGCAGCCAGACAAGTCGCCCAGCCCAAGAGAGAGGTGCGCTCTGAGCACCAGGGCACGCTGGGAAGCCACGCGGTCTGCAGCATCCTCGCTGCCCGGGATGTGGCGGGCAACCCAAGGGAGCAAACCCGAGCATGCTCTGGAGCGGGTACCTCGTCGACTGCGGGAGGTACAGCAAGCAAGAAAGAGCGCTGAGCGGCAGCAGGGGCAGCAGCAGAAGCTTTAGTGTCCAGGCTGGGGCCGTGCGCACTGCTGCAGAACCTGAAAACGTCAGACAGCCTCATGTACTCCTAGAAATCCACGGCGGAGGAGAAGGAGGAGAGTTAGACCCATGCGCTGGCATCATGGCGCCAACTGCAAAGCGGGAGCAAATCTCCCCACGCCCGTGTGCCCCACCGCCGCCTGCCCAGCCCTTCCCTGCCTCGCTGCCCTCCCTGCCTGCGGCTGCCTCGGTGCACAGCACCGTGCGGGGAGCGGGGTGCCCGAGCTGGGCTGCGTGTCCCAGCACGCTGCCTCGCTCCTGCCTTAGGTGCAGCTTCGCTGGCTGCAGGCTGGGGACAGGGGGCTGCAGCCTGCCCTGCCAAGGCCCCAGGCACCTTCAGCTGTTCCCGTCACCCAGATCTCAGGGTCCCCCGGGGTCCCCAGTCACCAGCTCTCCCCAGTGTGACAGCACTGGACGAGGCAGCTCTAGCTGCTCCGAGCCAGCTTAAAAATCCACTTCCTCACCCTTCCTGAACCAAACATGTTAAAGCTGGGGATCTGCTCTTTTCTGGGGGGGGCCAGGCTAGCAGGACCCTAAAGGATGCTGTCAGTAGGCGCCCAGCCAGCGGGTGAGCAGCGGGCAAGGGGGAAGCGGAGGGATGCCTGTGGCACACGGCGCCATGCCAGGGTTAAAACTGAGGGCGGCAGTGGGAGCCAGGACGCCCAGCAGGCTCAGGAGAGCACCTGAAATCGGGGTCTGAGTGTTAATGAGCAGAGCTGCTGGAGAGCTAAATGAGAAATGCCCCAGCTGTGCCACCTCGGCGTGCTGCTGCGGGGATGCTCTGCTGCCCGAAGGTGACATTAGTCTGCGTAAAGGGTCTGGCGGTGGCCTGGCCAAGGAGGGGGCAAGCGAGCAAGCGCGTGCAGTTAGTCCCGTTACCTCTTGTGCCTTGGGGTAGGAGCGGGCGGCAGGAGAAGCTAAGGAGGCAGCTGCTGCTGGCAGGGGGCTCAGGGACTTAGTTCCCTCCAACAGCTCATAAGGCTCTGAGATACGGAGGGTCTCCTGTTGGACGGTAAAGATCACATAGGCGAGGCGGGCACAGGCAGCAAGGTGGCAGCAGCAGGAGCCCCACTGCAGGTAGGAGCAAGGGGACTCTGCCATCCTGCCCCTCTCCCCAGCAGCGGGTCGGGTGGCACTGAAGTCCCCAGGGGCATTGTGGTTCTGGCTCCCTGTTCAGAGCCACAAGCAGGGCAACGGGGCGACCCGCTGTCACCTAAAAGCCTTCGGACATGAACTGGAAGGAGTCTCCTGTACCAGCGCCAAGACAGCCCCACGCTTGCTCTCTGGCAAGGACGGGACCCCAGGCGGTGCCTGCCCCGGGTGCTCCGCAGCCATGCCAAGCCCTTCCCTCGTGGGCACTCATAGCCCTTGCCAAGCCGCCTGCTAAAAGCCCGGACTGCTCCGGGGCTCCCGCAGCACCCGAGCAGCCTGGCAGGGGAGACGCTGCTGCTCCCAAGCCCAGCTCTGTTGCATTTCCCTCCCTCCCTCCCTCCCAACGTGGCGATGGTCTCTGCAGCCCATGGGAGAGGCTCTGAGCAGCCAGGAGCACCTGGCTCCGGCCAGAAGGCGCTTGGGAGCACAGGAGCTGCTGCAACGCAGAGCTTGAGGTGCACCAGGCTCGTCTCCACTGGCGACAGCAGCTTGGGGTGGCAGGAGAGCAGCCCTAGGGGCTGTACCCTCCTCTCCCCACTTACCTCTCTGAGAGCTGAGGACATTTTGGGGAAGCTCCTGCCGCCTGTGACGAGCTGGTATCGCCTCTCCAGAGACACGAGCTTCTCCTTCTCCTGAGCGTGGGGCAACAGCGAAGGCAGAGGCAGCTGACGGTTACTGGCACCCCGTGGCCACTCCCCCACAAGCTCGCCCCGACTGTCAGCACCTTGGCAAGAGCCGGCGCGCGATCTTGTCCCCTGCCTCGGGCACCCCCAGGGTCGGGGAGGGCATGCTGACCCCCTGATTGCTGCATTACCTTCTGCAGGAGCTGCAGGATGCCGTTTCTCTCCCTGGCCAGGCGCTCGGCCTCCTGGGCGCTCTGCAGCTGGATCTGGGCAGCCTGGGCATCCAGGGCGGCCACTCGCTCCTGGGGAGCGGGTAGTGGGGATGAGCTGGCCGCCGGCAAGCCGTGGGGCTCAGCCGGGGCCGCGGGGTGCAGCCCGGCCGTGCCGGATCTGCCACCCCCCTCCACCCCTACCTTCCTGCGGGCGATGCTGCGGTGGCACTCGGCCCGGCTCTGCAGGAGCTGCTGGCCCCGTGCCTCGCGCTCCTCCTCGAGGCGGCTCTCCCGCTCCAGCTGCTGGAACTCCAGGTCCTCAAACAGCTTGGCCTCTGTCTCCAGCACCTCCGCCTCCTTTGGACACACACAAGGGCATGGCGGATCACTCCCTCTGGACAGGTACCTCCGTATCCCACAGGCAGGTCTCCCACAGCGAAACCCCCTGCTGTGCTCCTGTGTCCTGCTGGTGCTGGCCAGGAACGGGAACCCGTGGCAAAGCCTGTCCCCAGTGCCCTGTGTGCACAGGCAGGCAGCTTTCCCTCCTGCTCAGCACCAGCAATGCGGGCAACACCGGCAACCCCTGCCCGGCTGGAGAAGGCGATGGAGGCACCGGGCACCGGCCAGGTCAGAGCCATCGCCCCCACGAGATGAGAAGCTTGCTGTGGCCGGGGGCTTCACCCAGCCCTCGTAGACTAGCTGCCCCCATTGAACCACGTCCGGGCCGGCGCTGTGCCCTGCTGGGCTGTAAAACACCATGCACTGGTGTAACCATCACAGGTGGTCCCATGTCACCGAGCTGACGGGCGGCAGAGCCCCCACGGACGAGCACCGCACGCCCTCCCAGCCTTCAAGCCCACGGTAGCGCTCAGCTCAGGGTCTGCCAGTGCCACACCGGCGGCAATTGCACCTCGCTCGCTGTGGGGACGCGTTTCACCCTGCTATGGGTGCAGGCCAGCTGCTGCTCTTGTGGCATGGCGTGGCACCACCAGCGTGGTGGCTACCGAGGGCTCCCACGCACTGGGACCGCCCCATCGCTCTCCCTGGCCACTGCACGCCAGGACCCGCATCCAACACGGGGGTGCCTGCCCCGAGCAGGCTGCAGCAAGGCGGGTTTCTCTGCACGCTGAGGGCCGGGCAGGCGCCAGCCACGGACTGGGGAAGGTCGGCCACTACCAGAAAATACCAGATAAGGGGAAAAAAACGCTGTGGACCGGCGGTAACATAAACTGACGGCACCGTGTAAATAAACGCTCACAGGAAATAGCTGGAACCGGACACGGGAGGACCCAGCGGTCCCCAAGGCTCCCCAGCCTGCCCTCCTCTGCGGGGCACGATCCATGCTCGCGCCCTGCCCGGTCCAGAGGAGCACGGCGGCTCCGCGGTGGGGGGCAGCCCCGCGCTCTGCCGAGCCAGCACCACGCCCCCGGCCCGGGCGAGCGGCAAGCTTACCAGGACGGCGGTGCCCGGCGCCAGCCGCCTCCAGCCCGGGTGCGACGCTCCCAGTGCGGCCCCGGCTGGCGGGGAAGAGCTGGCCTAAGCTGGAGCGGAGGGAGGTGGGCCATGGTCCGGGAGGGGTAGGGGGGAGACACTGACCCTTCGCATCTGCTCCCGCAACTGCTCCCGCATTGACTCGGGGCACTTATCAAGGTGGCTCTTCGACTCATGGTAAAGCGCCCGGAGTTGCTCTAGCTCCTTCCTTTCAGCATCAACCTTTGCCCTTTCCTGAATTGGGGGAGAATGAGACAAAACAAAAAAAAAAAAAAAAAAAGAAAAAGGAAAAAAAAAAAGAGAGAAAACACACTTCTCAAATCCGCGCCATGCAGAAGCTGCAGAGTTAGAGAGGGGCTCAGCTGGAGAAAGAGGGGGCTCGCGGGGAGGAGCATCACGGCATCTACGGAGGGGTCGAGAGAGCAACAGCCATGGGGACCCAGGCCGGGCGGTGTTAGAGGGGTTACGGCCAGCCCTGGACCTCAGCCTCGCGTTTCCACGCCCAAAGCCCGCTTACGGGCAGCAAAAGGATCGATGCTCACAGCATGGAGAAAGTCATCCCAATCCTGCAAATGGCTGCACCACGCACACCTTCTGAACAACCGCTAACTACCTTTGTTAATTGACGCTCACCATATGGGATGCTGCCAGTTAAGCACAGCAGGTCCTGCACGCAGGCTGAGGGACCAAGGACCACCCCTCTCCATCGGAGGGAGAGGGCTGCCTGCGGGACGGCAGCAAAAAGGGGAGACTGAGGTCCAACCCTGCTGCTGGAGCTGCTCAGGCTGCGCCGAGTTAGCGGCAGAGCAGACACTTGCTCCTGGCCCCAGGAGGAGGGGGAAGCATCCCCAACCCTCCCTCCCACAGCCGCAGGGGCAGCACGACAGAGGCCGGCGACACAGGGCTGGCATAGGGGACCACGTCCCGCAGGTCTGGCATACCCATACGGGGGGTAGGCGTTGGGAAACACACGCTGCAAGAAACCCTGCTCCATGCCGTGGCAGCGCGGAGACAGGGGATCCATGCAAAGGGACGCGGGGGGGACGCGCCGGGGGGGAGACAGGGCTGGCACAGGTGGGTGCCCCGGGACAGGGGCTGCAGGGTGCCCAGGGGGCTCCCGGGCATGCAGAGATGTCAGAGGTGACGGCAGACTTCAGCGCAGGCACCGTTAGTGCAATTAGTGCTGGCTGGTTAGGAAAGCAGGTGGTTAGGTCAGCAGAGAGGTTGGGAGGGGGATTTCCCTGTGCTCCTCTCCTGGCTCTGCATGAGGCTGCCCCTGGCTAGAGAAGATGCCTGCAAAGGACTGAAGACCAAAATCAGAACAAAAACCCCAAATGCCACGGGGGCACGGCTGGCAGGCGCAGACGGCAGCTCTGCCTGGCCACAGGCAACCAAACAGCCCGAGCACCTCCAGCCATGGGGCCAGCCAGACCCCCAGGGACGCACAGAGCTGCCGGCGGGACCCAGGCATAGGCTGCACGGGGATGCCGGCCTCGGGCAGCGGGGAGCCAGGTCCCAGTGGCTCTCCCGCCGTGGAGCAGCTTGCCCAGGGCTGTGCCATGCTGCCCACAAGGCTGTGGGATGGCTGGCAACCAGCAGCCGGGACGAACGTGCCACGCACGCAGCGGTACGGGTGCCTTCGGGCGCGGCTGGCAGATCACGGCAGCAACTGCACCAGAGACGACTCCAGGGGAAAGGGGCCGGGACCCCCCTCCTCAGCCACTGAGCCAAATGAAACACCCGCAGCAATTTCCTGGCCCCCCCCACAAAGCTGAACACTACAGGGGCAGCCGCCATCACGCGTGAAGATGACCCGACAGGCAGCAGAGTGGGGGACTTGCCACAAGACACAGCCCCCCAGCAAGGGCAGGGAGCACTGAGGCCCCCCCGCCCCGGGGGGGTGCCATACGGGAAGGCAGCCATACAGGAGAGACCCGCACCACAGAGCCTCGCTGCAAGACCCTGCCGGCGCAACGGACAACGACCGAAACCCACCCCAAGCATCAGCCCCGTGCTCCTTGGCAGGGCCGTGGGAACAGTCCCAGGCAGACGGACGGACAGACAGACCCCCCCACGACGCAAACCCAAAGGGGATGCTCCTCGATGCCTCCGCAGAGCCTGGGGACAGGAGAACGCGCCCCCAGGGGAACGCCGCAGCACGGGGCGCCAGCACCGGCTGCAAGCACCGGGGTGGCCACGGCGCAGCCTGTGCCGGGGAGCCCTGCCCTGGGGCTCACCTTGTCCCGCTCCTTCCGGATGCTGGCGTCCAGGCTGGAGAGCTTCTCCTGCAGCTGCTGCACCACCTCCTGCTCCTGCCGCAGCCGCGCCGCCTCCGACTCCCGCTCACCCTGCAGCAGCGCCCGCTCCATCTCCGCCTGGACGGGCATGGCTGTGTCAGGGGGGCTGCCCCAGCCGCATCCCGCTCAACACCCACAGGATCCAGCTGGCAAGGGCAGGGAGCGGCGGGGGACCCAGTGGGGTACCCCGTCCCCTAACCTCTCGTGATGTCTCCTGCAGCTGCTGCTCCAGCTCCTTGACACGGCCCTTCAGCTGGTCCAGGCGGCCGAGGATGCTGGCACGGTCCTCCTCCAGCCGCTGCGCCTCCTTGGCCCGGGGGCCGGCCAGCTCCTCGTGCTGTGGAGAGGGCAGGTTGGCACGGTGCGGCACAGCGTGGCGCGGCGCGGCACAGCAGTCCACTCACCTCGTGGTGGGTGCTCTCAGTGCTGCTACACTCTTCCCTCAGGTTCTCCTCATCCGACCTCTCCAAGCTCTCCCTCTGCCGCAGCTCCTTGGCAGCACGGCCCAGAGCCATGGCGCCCCTGGGCGCCCGCTGGCCAGCATCTGCGTCGCCGGCCAGGAGCCGCTGCACATCGCCCGGCTCAGTGCCGTCCGTCTTGGTGTACTCGGCACAGAGGTTCAGGATGGTCTCCAGGCGCTGCCGCTCCTGCGGGGAAGAACAGTCGGCACAGCGCCTGTCCCAGCACGCACCGCCACCAGAGCCCACAGGACCCCGTGCTAATGGCAGGCATGGGGATGCAGGCTCGCTCCTTGCCCTGCCCGCACACTGGGACGGGCTGGGGACACTGCAAAGCTCGATGCAGCCCGCCCCAACCCCATGCCGGAGCCAGGCACACGACGCGCTGGGAGCCGTAGACGGACTAATTACAGGCAGCAGCGCCGGCCACCGAGCGCCTCCGCTATTTCCAGGCAGTGACTCAGGCCGCCCGCGCCGGGCGTGAGTCAGGGCTGAGCAAACAGGGCTCCGGTGGCACAGCCCCCGGGACCGGCAGATGCACAGGGCAAACCCCACCCAGGCAGCTGCTGGCTCTATAAAAACTCCATCCATCCTAAATATAGACGCAGCGCCCACAAAGCCACAGCACCGTCGCCGGCAGACGCGGCCCTTGGCGGGGCTGGACGAGACGTGGATGGTTTTGCAAAGCCAGGGCCACCACAATTTCAGCTGGCAGCCCCGCAGAGCCGTGCTGACCCCACGAGCTTCCCCGGGCTGCTGCGAGCCAAGGGCTTTGTGCTCCCGGAGAGCTGCCATGCATCGATGGCCACTCTGGGCCGTAATCCCCTCAGATAAGCTGGCAGCCTGGCAGCTGCAGCAAATCCCAGAGAGCCAAGGGCCGGGTTTTAAAGCAGCAAAAGCTGAAAGGCGTTTGCAAAGAGGGCGTCCTATACTCAAACACAGCCCCGGCCCCGGGTCTCACCAGGCGCTCCATCTCCTGCTCCCGCACCCGCTCCTGCCGCTGCCGCCGGTGGTACTCCAGCAGCTCATCCTCATTGTCACTGATCTCGGTGATGCTGTTCTTGCGCTCCCGTGGCCCCGCTGGCGGCCGTGGGTCCCCCAAGGGCTTCCTGGGGGCACGGGGGCTCTGCCAGGGCGAGGACATGGCCGGGGAGCCCAGCCCGTATGCCGGGCTCAGGCAGGTGCTAAAGCTGGGGCGGCGCGGAGGGGTCTCTGCCGGCAGTGGGGGCGAGGGGCTCCCAGAGCACCTTGGCTCCTCCAGGCCCTTGCGCCTGGTG